CCCCCCCCCCACATCCCCCTTCTGTTCTGTAATGTGATTTGTCCTTTTCATGTGTGTTCATTTTTTTTTAATTGTATCCTTTGGTATATATGGTTGTGTTTGTGATCTTCCACTATTTGATCTGAGGAAGTGGGTCTGGCCCATGAAAGCTCATCATCTAATAAACCATCTTGTTAGTCTTTAAAGTGCTACATTGTCCTGCATTTTGCTTCAGCTACCCCAGACTGACACGGCTACATTTCTATCACCAAAGTATATGAGTGTCTCTCATCTTTAAATGTGCTCTCTTCTCAGTACTCTGGTGAGGCAGGGCAGTACTATTTATTCCATCCTGAATATGAGAACTGAGGAACAATGTGACCTGTGGTGGAGCAAAAAACTAAACCCAGCTTTCCCCATTTTTGAAGCTTGTGTCCTATACAGCTGGTCTGTCTTCTACCACACCATAATAACCATGCCCAAATCATGCATCATCATGAGGTTTTGAATCCTGAACCTTCAGCACCACAGCACAGATATCTACCACTCAAACTACAGGATGACTTTAGGTCCAGCACATGCTAGCTCTTCCTACAAGCCTCCCTCCGTTTTAACCCAAAGACATGTGGCTATGCTTGTTTGAGTGTTTTAGGCAAGGAGTGATCAACGTGCACAGCTACTGAAGGAGGAAGCCCTCTCTGTGTGCAAGCAAGGAGTGGCACTTCCATGCTCCCAGAGCTGAAAGACTGCCAATGGAGAAGCTTCTATGAGTGCAGTTCCATCTTCTCATTCCATTGCCTAACTAGGCTGCTGCTAACTTAAAACTGAACAGGCTGAATGTGTTCATGAAGATGGGGAAGCAAAGGGACAAAATAACCAATGTGAAACAAAAGGGATTGTAGTTGGAGGTCGAGCTATGACAAATCACCATGTCACCTGCCCAGTGTTGCAGAGATTTTTGTACATCAAGCAACTATACTACAACAGCAAGTACCATGCCGCAGTAACTTACCTTAGGATCTTCAAGTCTAACCTCCTCAATGACAGCCATATCCCCATCTTCATTTAAGGAATGGGAGGCTAGAGAGAGATACGATTCCTGCTTTAGAGTGTCCAAACTAGAATCCTCCTCTGCAAAGCCATCAGGGAGCTCGTCAGGATCTTCAAGCAGGCAGGGAGAAGGCAGCTTCTTTATGGAGGTCTTTGTGGTTTGGGACTTGCAGCCTAATTTAAGACCATAGAGAAGTCCAGTTAGGCCGGCCACTTCAATGTCCAGTTCCTACAGGTTTCTCCATGGCCAAGCCATTCCCCAGATGACAGGGACCTAGCCCAGGCTTGCAGACAGGCTCACTTGAAGAGTATAGCAAGAGATACTTTAAGCATCTTCAGTCCAATAAGGCTACTGTAGGAAACAGGGAGGCTCAGGAAGAGTAAACAGCTAAGCTCGGTCTTCAAAATTAAAATGTTATTTGAAGGAATTTTGGAAACTGATAGCTTCCAAGTGATGTGTCCCCCTCCCCCGCTTTGACTGGAAGTAGAAGACTCTCTAGGTAGATTTCTGCCTGATAGCAGGAGACAGGATTAGCTTGGTCAGCAGCTGCTGCCTGAAGAGGGAGGGAGGGGAAGAGTTTGTTTCCTGCTTCAAAGACTGTCTTGCCAGAGAGAAACCTCCCCTGAGCACATAAAGATCAGGAGTCACATCAAGCACCCCTGCAGCCACTCTGTAAATCTATAGCAGGTCAGGCAACCCCTTCCCATAGCTTATGGGAGATGGACTGAAGTGCCCTACCCCTCCACCAGTTTCCCAAGAATCTAGCAGCCTTAGGGCAAGGAAGGTGTTCCAACACCTCAGCAGAAGGGAGAGACAGTGGGAAGAGGAACAAATATGTCACCTTTGCCCCTCAACAATATACAGGCAGTCCCCAGGTTACGTACAAGATTGGGACTGTAGGTTTGTTCTTAAGTTGAATTTGTATGTAAGTCGGAACTGGTACATATTGTAGGGGAAACTCTAGCCAAACATTTCTCCAGAGCTCAGTTTTATTCTCCCACACCTCACTTCCCTCAGCCCTTTATTCTCAAGCTGAGGTGTCTGCTGAGAAAAGCCGCTCCACGTCTCCCTGGTCGGCTGGGAGGGGTGCTAGCTTTGCGTCTCCCTGGTCTGCTGGGGGGAAGCAGCTAGTGTGGGGTTGCCTCACCCCGTTTGTAAGTAGGGATCCGATGTAAGTCGGATCCATGTAACCCGGGGATGGGGAGAGAACCACCACGAAGAGGGTGCAGGCTATGCTGCAGAAGGTTTAAAAAACTGAAGCTTGATGTTCTCTTTATTTTCTTCAAGGAAAACCTACATGAGCAAGCCAGACTCCGCAGAGAACCATTCCATACCTTTAGCTGGTGTTGAATGATTGGAGCCATCTCTGAAGCTCAATTTCAGCAGCGAATCTGAGTTGGCCTTCACTCCCTTTTCCCGTTTCTTACTGTATTTTGTCTCTTCTTCATTATCTGACTCTGAGAGGAAAGTATCGTCTTCTACAGGAGACAGTTCTTCCTCAGGCAGGGAGTCTTCATGCACTAGAGCCAAGCTGACTGTTGCTAACTGTTCACTTCGGGCCTTCTCCCTCTCAAACTGACGGTTTAAATCACTCTCTTCTGCAAAAACGTGTGAAATATATTTTGTCATTCGCTGCCGACCTTCATCTTCCATAAATCCCTAAGAGGACCGAAAGTCATTATTTTGGCAAATTCTTTCATCTCCCCCTCCATTATCCTTGTCCTTGACCAACAAGATTCTAAATTGCTCCTCACACCATCTCCCGAAGCTTTAATCTCTACTCTTAAACAAATAGGCCAACTGGGCCCATATTTCATGGAAAAGAAGTAAAGCATTCGGTTTAGATAAAAATTCTATATCCTGTATAGACAACAAGACATTTTCTCTTATTCTATATTAGAGACATCTGAACAAAAACAAGGTATTTGTTTTTTATCAGTTTGATGCATACTCTTATAGAATTATAATTTTCTGAGATGTCTCTGGAACATGGGACTTGTAAGGGTAGATCTGTCCTGGGGGACCTTCTACTCCATTATCTGATTTGACAGCAGCGAGAACCAGATGTTTCAGGTGTAACAAAGCCCAGAACACTTAAGGAATTTCTTCTTACCTCTGCCCCCACCACAATCAATGAAAGGTTGGTTTATGTCCTGAAGCATTTTTATATCTCTTTTATAGTCTTATAGAAAGAAACTGCAGATGTTTTTTAAATCTTACCCATCTCCTGGACACAATTACATCCAATCTTACTAAAGCTGCTATACTGAAGGGTCAGAAAGTAGCAAACATACCTATGCTTAAAAAAGGCTCTAGTGATGATCCAGGCAATTATGCTCCAGTAAGCCTTATTTGGGGGAGGGATAGCTCAGTGGTTTGAGCATTGGCCTGCTAAACCCAAGGTTGTGAGTTCAATCCTTGTGGAGGCCATTTAGGGATCTGGGGAAAAAATTCATCAGGGATGGTACTTGGTCCTGCTTTGAAGGTAGGGGACTGGACCAGATGACCTTTCAAGGTCCCTTCCAGTTCTAGGAGATAGGCAATCTCCATTAATTTATGATATGGTAAACTGATCAAAATGATACTTAAAACTAGAACAAGAAAAAAACTGGAAAATCAAGGTATAACAGAGTTTAGCCAGCATAGCTTCCTCAAAGAATATAAAGTACTGCTAATCTTGTAGAATTCTTTGTTCATTTTAGTGACACATTCAGATAAAGGAGAACCAGTGAACAATTTATTTACATTTCAAAAGGCCTTTTGACAAGATCCCTCAGCAGAAGCTAGTAAACTTTTATCTACATCAGAGGGTTTACTGTGCACAGATTGTGTACACACTGTCAACTGTTTTCTGATCTAATACATGTTACTGTGTCTACATGGGGACTATGATCCATTATGGGTATCACATGATGCTTTGCTTCACTTCTAGGTTCTACAGATCCTGGGACTTTTCTCCCTGTGTATTCAGCGGGAAGTGATTTGAATTCTGGGACCGGGGTCAGACTCATTTCCCATTATTTCTTTCCCAGCCTATGTCTAGACTACCGGGTTTTTCTGGGATAAAACTCCGCCATATCCAGGGAATGCATCTGCTCTTCTGCTTTTTTTTTTTTTTTTGCAAAAGAGCAAATGTGCTCTTACAAAAGCCCTGTCTTCCTCCTCCCACGAGGAAGAAGGGCTCTTCTGAAAGAGGAGGCTTTTCAGAAATTTGGCCCAGTGTAGACAGAGCACAACATGTGTACCTTTTTTCGATAGATCCCTGTAGTGCAATGTGGAAATTGAGGAGTGCATTTTGCGTATCTTTTTCTGATAAAGCCCCATAGTGTAGACATAGCCCTACTCTCCCATCTGGGTGAGCCAGTACTATTTACAAACAGTTGGCATTTTTGGTCTCCTACTATGTATGGGTGAAATTCAGAATTGGGGGAGGGGAGTGGCAAAGAGGGGCATAGCTTGGAAATCCGTGTTTGCAGCTTGCAGGTAGGCTTAGGCCTATATAGCTGAAGATATTTAGTCATGGCTGCCCTAAGCATTGCAGACTCAGGAGCCTAAATCTCATTTTCAAAAGGAATTTAAGATGTTTAGGAATCTAAATCCCAACTGTTAATGGAATTTAGGCTCTAACCTGCCTAAATCCATTTCAGAAATGAAATTTAGGCTTCAAATTAGTCATGCATTGCAATGCTGAGCACAACACCCAGACTCTATAGAAAACTGCACATTAGTCCATGGGCTAGTTGATATTGAATTAATTTTTCAAACACTGTCTTCTCTATTCATTATTTTGCATATGCTCTCACTTGGCCAGTAAGTTATCATTTATTTCCACGATTATGCAGTTGCAACACTGTATTTAATCTCATTTTGATCCACAAGACATTACCTTGACAACTTTATATCTCTCTAGAAGACGACAGAGCATCCGTGCTTCTAGCTTTCCCACATTCATAGCCGATCGAATTTCTGCCTGAGAAATACCTTTGGTTCCTCTACTTTCAACTGTTTTAGGGAGGAGAAAAACAATTTTGAAACTTAAGTTTACAGGAAATCCCCTCATCCTGAAAATCTGTCTGAGGCTATCAGATCCGTCCTGACAATTTCTGTCAGCTTGAACATCATTATCTGAAAAGCTAAGATTTTCAAGCATACACTAGAATGTCCACTTGAACACTTGCTACTATAAATCATTTTCACTAATTAACGCTTAGTACTAGGTATTGTTGCATAAAGGAATATGAACATCTAAAAAGATGCAGATGATATTGTATTTGTGAAATATGTACTAATTTAAAGACACCATAATAGACATGCACAAGAGGCAGAATTAAGTCTCCCTGTGCAAATTTGACAATATTGGCTTGAGTGCTTAGCTGTGATAAGAACAGTTACTTATCTTATAGTAGCTGTAACTATGACTCTCCAAGATCTGCTGGGCATGTGGATCCCACTTGTGGTGTGGTAGCACCCCTTGCATAGGAGTTCAGGAGCTTTAAAAGCAGTGTTCATTAAGGGTTGTGCATGCACTCCGTCTCACCCCCTTTCTCTCAAAGATATAAAGGGCAGTGTTACTGTGCTCACTCCCTCAGTTTCTTCTCACCACCCCAAGTTTCAGAATCTCTAAACTCCAGGGATGTGCTGTGGGTCATGGGATCCACATTCAAAGAACATCTTTAAAAAATACTATTTCTATAAGATAAGTAATCATTCTTTTTTGTTTGAGCCCCTGCACATGTGGCTCCCAACTATGATGATTAAACAGACAATTCAGAGATTGAGAGAGTACATCTGAACAGAGAGTCTAGGACTGCTCTTCCCATTTGTGCATCTGCTCTGAAGCAGATACTAAGGAATAATGGCTGGGAAAAAGTATACTATGAAGACCAAGCTGCTTCTCTGAAAATTTCAGCAATTGGTATCCTACTGAAGCACATTGCTGAGGCCACATAGGATATAGTGGAACAAAATTTTAATATACTCTTTGATCCATTCAGATAATGTTTGGAGATTGATTTGCCCTTTTAAGCACTGTCATCTTCTTACTATATATTTTAGAAATGTGTGTCGGTCTGTGAGTCCGTTTGTTCAAGAACTCCTCCTACATGGGAAGAGCTAAGACAACAAATATGTGCATGCAGCCTCCTCTTCTCATAACTTAAATTCGATTGTTTCTCATAAAATGAAACGGGAGGGGTCTGGCAGTTATACTGCAGAATGACCACAGGGGGCAGCAAGGGGCCAGAGATGAGGACCAGGATAGCAATAACTCCATTGGGACAGAAGAGGTCTAGGGTAGAGAAAGGGACAGCTATCTATCGTATATTTCAGAGAGTTTGTCTGTGTGTCTGTCTGTTCCCCAACTGGGACATATGCACTCCTCCCCCAGCTGTGCCAGCTGCAACTGCAGAGGCCGTGAACAGGGGCTTCTCACCTGGCCCCAAGCTGCTGCAGTGAGAGAGGGCTAGGATTGACCTCTCCCCACTGGGGCAGCCTGCCTACTGAACCCCTCATCCCCAACCAAACCCCAGAACAATGATTTAAATGAAGAAAAACAAAAATTATTTCAGTTAAGGACCTGAGCAATGCCAGGTAAATCTAGTAAGCAATAAAAAGAGAGTTCAGAAAATGCCCTAGATGTGTTACATTAAGGTAGCAGAAGAACATGAGAATGCCCATCTAGCCCTATATTCTGTCTTCAGAGAGAATTAAAATGCCATACAGAACCAATTTTTGGCAGATAGAAGTTTAGGACCACCCAAAGCAGAGCTTGTAACCTTGACTGTCTTGTCTCTTAGCCACTGATAAATCTATCCTTCATGAACTTATCTAATTTCTTTGTGAACCCAGTTATATTACTTGGCCTTCCTGTCCTTTAATATAAATTACTAACGATTAGCTTGCTGAGTCTACAGTCAAGTAACTATAGCTTTGATTTTAATTATATGGATACTGTGCTTTACAAGCCCATGCCAACTGGTCTAGAACAGATTTGAACCATTATTTTAAGCAACTGCCTTTGATATTCTAAGCTTGTCCACTTTGAGACCAAACATTCAAATAGCAGGCACTTAGAAGTGCCTTACAGACAGACATATCCTTAAACAAATACTGGAATTGTGATACTACACAATTGGTGATCACCACTAAGCCTCCAACCTCATCTATGGCAATTGCTTTTAAGATTGTACTGATTGATGAAATGTTGATTGTATACGAATATGGTCCTGGATGAATTAATACATCATTGACTGGTTAAGAATAACCAAGTGTACTGGTCTGAAATGGAGTGTCCAAGATAAAAGCTGACCTGAAAAGAACCTGTCATCAAAATAGTAAATCAATGTTTCCTGAACTCAAGAAGGGTTTATCATTCTATTACATTCCATTTAACATGGTCTATAACACTTACCAAACTGAAATTCAGTTTATTAGTTTGCAGTTTTAAAATCTGATTGGCACATCAGCAAATTATAAAACTGACTTCGCACTTATGCTTACATGAGGTTAAATGCAGGGGGACAAAGACATCTAAAAATGACATTGTGGGTAAGGCAGTAAGGAAGATACTAGAGTGGAACTAAAAACGAAGGAGAGGTATGGATTAAAGAGCAGCAAAGGAGGAACTGTTCTCCCAACCTGCTCTTTACGATAAAGCAGGGCTACTCAACACGCGGCCTGTGGGCTGCATGCAGCCCACAGCCTGTTTGTTTGCGACCCGCAATGCAGTTTGGGTTTACACAAGGAGCAACACATGGCCTGCGGGTGGGATCCTTTGAACATGGCCTCCACTTGGAACATGCTCCATAATGGAGAGTCAGTGTAATGGTCTTCTGTTGATATGCATTTTAGTAGTTCAATTCCTGGACTGTTATTGCTCATTAAAAGTGCTGTCATATGGGTGGAAATCGGGTAAACAGTGCATTTTATTAATACCAGCAGAACTAACTTAAATGGGGCCTGTGTGTTGTGTAGTCTTGCCTTCATCTTTGTATTCATACCCGTCAGTGTGAAAAGAAGCTATTTGCATATATTTGCACGTACATGCAGCCACACTTAAGTTGTGGCCCTCAGCCTGTGCTGTGAATATCATTGTAGCCCCCAGGGCTTCCAAAGTTGAGTAGCCTTGCCATAAAGTGTTTGGTTTTACTATGAAAGGGGAAAGGAAGAGGGCAGTTCATTTTTTCCCCTATTAACCTCCCTTACTGCTCACACCACTCCTCTGTGACCCCATCCCCACCCACTTCTCCACTTTGAAAATATAAACAGCAAAAGGAAGACGGTGATGGCAATTGGAGGCAGCTCGCTATTTTCAGCCTCACCAGTTACTATGGGCACCAGCCACCAGTGTTATGATGGATACAGAAGTCCTGACATAATTGTCTCCACTACAAGTTCAAATCATGTCTAGGCTTGCACTGGAACTGGAGAACTAATTTAAGTGATAACATGGAGGCAAAGACATATATACTAGGAAAATGGGTGATACTGAAAATCATTAGCTAACATTTAAAAAAAAAAAGAGTATGGGCTGAACTTCCTTTAAATAATGTTATCTGCTAAGTAATATTTTTAAACAACCTATTTTCTAGCGTAGAAAGGGCCCAAGAGAACAAAAGTTGAGCTGTCAGAGGGAAAGCAGTTTTAGTAAGCATTTAAAATCTTGGTTCATTTTTCTTAAATATTTAACTCAAATGACAAGCTGACATTTTGAATAAAAGAAGCTTTGCTAATCAATCACCCACACTCCTTTCAACTGAGGTATTAAGAGGTCATAAACAAGCCTGAGACATCTCATTTTTATATCCTGGTAATCTCTAGAAGCAATCAATATGGGATAGGAGAAATTCTAAGGTGCCAGGCAGTGTCAAACAGTAAATAACAATCCCCGACTCTGACTAGATGAGACAGAGGGTGGGAGAAAGGGAGTATTTTTGCCATTTCACATATGTTCACAAGAATCTAATGTACGAGGTAATGACAATTTCAAAATTAAGACAGTAAGAAAACAGTTCATTTTTATGCAATGAACTGAAAACCACACACGGAATCTGATTACATTACCTACTTAGCTCATAAGCCTGTGTCAGCATATCCCTCTCATAAATAATATCTACAGGCTGGACAGCTTTGGTGATCATCTCTTCCTCATCATCATCATGATAATCATCCATTTTCTTTCGAAATTCCCTTACTAATTTGAGGCATCGGACCATAACATCAGTCCCTGTGAACAGAGGGTATTACTGATTAGCAAAATAACTGAACAAAACATATGGGTGGAAAGGAGAGGTCCATATGAAAAATAAGTTAACTGGTTTCTCTTAGCATTGACAAACAGAATGGCATTCTCGAAAGGAGGAAATGTGAAGCTGCTCATTTCCTGTTAAGAGATTCCTATTTGCAACAGCTTTTCCCGGAAGTGAAGTATCTTAATGAATTAGAATAGGTAAAGGCCGGGTCATCTGCATACGGGGCTGATGAAAGTTATCACAGCCTCGACATTTTAAACCAGGGAGATGAGGGAAAGGGCCCCTGCTACTCTGCCGAGCTAACTCAGGATATCCCTAGGGTTCAAACAGTGAAGTACTTAAAGAGGGGGATGTGAAAAGGTCCTACAGGAGGGCATAATATGAAATTAGGGAACCTTTAACTATGTATAGGAAGGTGGCTAAATGGTGATCCTGTGAGATCCCTCTCTTCAGAAAACCAATTAGCCTGCAATCTCTTCAAAACAAAGATGTTATCCTTTTGATCCCATAATCACCTAACATACATTTGGGTGTCCTAAAGAAAACATTATTACCGTTAAATTACTATCTATCAAAACATAATACCACCCGTGAAAATTTGCAGACCTCCTCCTTTCTGAAAACAAACTCAGAGAACTTGGTTACAACACAATTATCTCTTGACCTGTTGTAATATGGTTACAATGTATAATGTGGCTAAGACTTTGCGCTGTTGTAAGTAGGACTAAACCAACAGATTTATTCCAGATTTTCTGTGAAGACTCAGGAAAATAATGTTGGATTAGTCTCAGCTATCAGAAATATCTTTTGATAATATATACGGACAAGAAACTCATAAAGTTTACTTTTCGCAGCTATGAACACTATACCCCATATTTATCAGAGTAATACCATTATAATATAATTATGACATAATTATGTTGCATTTTGTACAAGATGGGTCATGTAAAGTGTAATTGAGAAAGTTATGATTTGCTGAACATGATTAACCAAAATCATCATTTGTATCTAAAATTCTGAATATTGACAATGTATCTATTTCAAATGTAGTTACACCTGAGTGACGCCCACTTGGCAAAATGTTTCCAGTCTGGATAGCTGGTTGAGAAGAACCCATCGAAGATAGCAACACATCCGCCAACCGGTGAGCTTTTCTGAGAAAACCCCAGTAAGCCTGTAAGTAATGGCTGCTATGGTTTTCTAAGGGCATGTGACCAGACCACATGACTTTGGACTCCATTTTAGGTGCCTATATTTTTCCACAAATTGCTCTGGGAAATAAGTTTGAAACAAAGGATTCTTACCATATGGGAAAGCTTACTGAATCCTCAATCAGGGTGAGAAGGTGCTGATTTATAACTAGTTTTTCTAGTATTTTAGGCTTAGTTTGCAGTTTTGGTTGATCTACTAAGTAATATGCTTTGATCTGTTTACTATCACTTAAAATTTATTTTTGTGTTATAAAACAAGTTTTTTTTAACTGTTTTAATCTTAAACCACAGAAGAGCCTGGATAAAAATCTTAGCGTGGTTACTTCAATTGTTCATATTCCTCTCCAGCTGGAGGGAGAGGCGGACATATTAAGGAGCTTACACTGTACAGATGCCTGTGTACTGTAAGACGGTATTGGACTGATACTCAGGGGGGCGAAGGGGGATGGTGCATCCCTGGGGAGCTGGAAAATTGGCTGGTGTCTTTTGTTTGCACTCAGGTAACCCAGTTTGGATGAGTGGCACCACTTGCTGTTGTGTTAGGTGACAACAGGGCTGAGAGGCTGGCTGCATCCACAACCCAGTTGTGTGTCTTACAGGGACACAGCTGTTCCCACAGTCTCCAACCTGCATCCCAGAGGTGACAACTCGTCACATTGTGCATCTAGGGAAAAGTCAGATTTATTAACACAAATGGAGACTAAAAATATATGGAAAAATATGCTCTGTGAAAATGGAAAATTGATAGAAAATTATTTCCTTGGTGTAAGGCTGATTCACACAAGGATGACATTAGTACATTATCTAATCATATCATAATCCTATTAATGCCTGGTTTATTATTTAATGTTCAGTGTATCCCTGGAATGGATAATGATTTCAGGTGAGTTGCATTGTGTACTAATTCATTTATAACTTGATGTATACTGGAGATGCAAAAGGAGCTTTACCTTTAAACACTGCAATTTAAAATTTTGGTTAGTTTATACACTTGATGACATCAGCATATACGAGTGATGTGGCCACAATTACCTTTCTTTGTCTTATAGGGCCCACCGTCAGGATTCATGTCCTGTAATGGGGTAGTTAATACTTTGGCCAGGCCAGCATTCATCATATATTGATACAGACGCTTGAATGTTCTTTCACACAGACCCTACAGCAGTAATAGTAAAGAGAAATGAAAAAGACGACATTATTGTAAGGAGCATTCTCTACAAATCAGGACACTAATAGCAACTAAATCCTTGACTTTCATCGAGAGATATCAAGAAGCATCTCAGGGACAGAAAGCTGTTTCTGACTCAGCTATTATGAGTTACTCAACTATAGCTTTTGATCCCACTCCTTTACCTGGTTTTTAGTACCCAGTCATCTTTCCCTGTCTACAATTTCTCACTTATCAGTCTGGAAAAAAGCTTTCCCACTATCTCACCTGCATCTAAGTACCATCCCTTAGCCTCCTTTCTTCCATTGTGTTCAATCATTCAAATATCCTAGACCTCAACTAAATCATTCACTCTTCTCAATCCTGCTTCTTACCTCTCCATTCAGAAATGACAAGATCAAAAATAATAATATATTATAAATGGAAAAAAGGGAAAGTTGATATTAATGAATGTAACTTAGGAATTGTAGTAAACAGATCAGGGAAGCAAAGGGACACAAGGAGAACTTTATGACCAATGGAGTTAAAGATAATAAGAAGGAAGTTTTTTAAAGTAGATCAGGAACAAAAAGAATCTTAACAATGGCACTGATCCATCACTAAATGGAAATAGTAGAATTAACAATAATGCTAAAAGTGCAGAAGTGTTCAATAAATATGTATGTCGTGTATTTGGGAAAAATAGGTGATACGATCTTATAAGTTGACAATGCTCTTTTTAGTCCATTAGTATCTTAGAAGGATGTTAAACAGAAGCTACTAAAGTTACCCATTTTTATATCAGGTCAAGATAACTTGCATCTAAAATTTTAGAAGAGCTGGCTGTGAAGCAAGCTGGACCATGAATGCTTATTTTCAAGACGCTCAGCTACCAGCCAGAGGCAGTACAGGAAAGAGCAGAGGTACCCTACAGTCCACATAAAACACTCTGGCCCACGGTGATGGGGAAAGTGATCTGCATTCCCCTGGCTCCCGAAAGAAGAGAAAAGAAGAGGGATCACAAAGCCTCTTCCCCTTCAGGTGCTCCCCTCCTTCAAGAGTGAAGAAAAAGAAACCTCAAACTTTTACTTATAGCAGGCACTTTAGGAGGCTGCTCACTGCAGTTATGCGCCTCCAGCAGCTCCCAATTGGGTGGGAGAAGCAGGAACTTAACCTTCCAACCCTAGTCTGCCTCTCCAGGATCCCCATCTCAGCCCCAGTGTCACTGCACTCCTCCTGTCAGTTCTCAGTATTCCAGTGGTCCCCAGTCCCTCCTCTCCCACTTTTACTCTCAGTTTCTCTTACTACTTGCCACCCTCGAAGTCCCAGTCTCCCCCAGGTTCCTTGGGCCTGTCTGGCTCTTGTCCCGTCTTCACTTCATTCAGAAAGCTCACTCCATGTTGCCTGGGCCCAGAAAAAGGAGCACCAAACACACAGGCTTGGCTCCACCTTAGCTCAATCTGCACCAACCAAGAGTGGCAATGGCAAAGAAAGTCCTGTTTTGCCTCCTCAGCTTGGGCTGGTGTATGCTCACTGCAGACGGAGCCTTTGGAGAATGCAGCTGATATGCTCCAACACTTCCCTACTGTGTATATGTGGACCTAAACACCTGGCCAAATTTGGACGTATTTTCACCACAACAGGAAAAAGCACCTCCCTGACACAAAGGCTACCTGCTTCTAAATTGCAAGTCCCTGTTCCAGATGGGACAGGCACAACACATCCTCAGAGAAAAAGGTTATTTTTAAAAAATAAAAACATTTCTCGTATGCCTCATTCTGGGAAATTCCTAAACCATATTGTCTGAAACTTTCTAAAGTTTATTTTGAGTTAGACATCTGACATTGAAAAATTCAGCCTAACGATTTAAAGTCTGGCACTCAGAAGCAATAGAAAACAGGTCTGCATAATCGAAAGTATTACTAAGATCATCCGACATTTCCCATTACACAAACCACCTCTGCATGTAATGCTGATTTTTTTGATTAATTAATAACAGATTGAGATCTTGAAAGCAAATGATAATCTCACCAGTTCTTCCCTCAGGTTCCCCAAAGTGTCCATTTTGTTTGGTCGAGTGCTCAGCACACTTGAGAGCTTCTCCATAAGAATATCATATTTGCTTCTCCTAAAACGAAAGTTATTCAACATGTCAATTTCATGAGTGATGATTTTTACTTCCAGCAATATCACAGGAGACACCCATTACCATCACAGAAGTAGACTCAGAAATGGAAAGCCAAGGTTTTTGCAACATTTGAGGGAAAAAATCAAGTTTTTGGTGGTTGGTAGATGCAATTCAGTATTTGATTAGTCTTTATATTTGGACTCAAAACTCAACATTTGAGTTGAGTGCCTTTGATTACTGATGTGCATTAAATTGGTATCCACACCATTTGTGCACTTCAGACACAAGGGTGCTGAATATGTTTCTGTACGTTTTCCCATGGGCTGTTGAACTTCTCCAAAACGTCTTTAAAGGTTGACAAACCCCATATAGGTTTCAGTAGAGCTTTTGAGCCACATTAGTACTTCACATACATAGTTATCTGTGCACAGTACTTAGATGATTTCCCCATATTATCTCTATCCATCATATCCCCCACCACATATATCTTGATTTATGTTATCCATCCGTGGTTTGCCCCCTGGAAACTTCAGTATGCAAAAAGCTTTATGAAGTTCATGTGGGGCTGATGATTCCTATTAACAGGCTTTAGTTACAGGGCCACCTACTTTTAGTCTAACAATATTCAAAGGTTGGATATTTGTCAGACATAAAACTATATGTGAGAGAAACATTGCTTGTCATAGGAAAGTCATATTTCATAATTTGCTTTTATCCACTTAGTATTCCCACACTGTGGTCATATATAGAGCAGAATTTTTAGAAAAATCATGAAGTTCATTTCATTTACACACAGAGTGCTGGTATGGGGAATGTCCCCTCCACTCAAGTGGGCCAAACAGCAGGTACAAATATCCAATACCAGGAAGATAGTCACATGAGGATTATTACTTGAACCAAAGTTATTGTGAAGCTAGGCCTGCTGTTTTACTGTGACTAACTATGAAATAGAGGAAGAGAGTCAGAAGTAAAAATTGACTAGAAGACACAGCTACAAACACAATGAATAAGAAAAATCAGGTCTCTGTAGGACAAGATCAAACAACAGGATAACAAGAAAATCATAGCTAGAGTAGGGGTGCAACTCCTTTATAAAGTTCTTTCTCTGAATGCTTAGGGGCTGTGAATACAACAACCAAGAGGCACTACTTCCAGAAAGTTCTGATGATCCTGTGGCATAAGCGGCATATCTTAATGATAAGAAAGCAAATATCAAACCCTGAAGAACTACTTTCCAACTGCTTGATACATACCTGTCAACATGAAAGCGGTTCAAAAGCAGAAGAATTGAATGTTGCTGAGTTCCACTCGGTAATCTTATGACATGGGACTGCATTGAAATGAGACCATTTCTGTCTAATACTCTTCTGTGATAATGAATTTTACCAGCATCCACCCTAGAGAAGACAAGATATGCACAGAACCTCCCATGATGACTGGTAAATAAATATAACAAATTAGATTCATACACCTGTTGTTTCAATGCCCTTTATAAATTTACATTAAGCTATAAATTGCTTGTGAAACGTTAATTCAGCCCCCTTGTGCATATGTACTATGATGGTCTTAAAACAGAATCACATACTGTTTTTTTCCATAGGAATTCATTCAGTGCACAGGAAATGAATCAGGGTAATGTACTAAATGAAGCTTCTGTCTATAGGATTCAGCCTCATCGGTTACAGAAGACAGATGTTAAGTAAATGAAGGGGAAAAAGTGATGTAGTTTGGTTAAGGCAGCTGAACACCACATTGAAAAATTGGAGTTTCTCTCTGCTTCTGCCACGTGACACTTGGCAGTCATTCAAGCCAAACTTCCCAGTTGGCCACTAACTGTGTTTTTCATTTTCAAAGCACTTAACTTGAAACACGTAGGGTCTGATGTGCAGCTGTCCTGGGCATTCACTGCTGCAGCTGAACTCAATGGGAGCTGTGCATTGAGCTCATGAAATCAAGTACTTTAACTGAGCTACAAAAACATTAAGTACTCTAAAAAATCAGGCCCCAAGTTGGACACCCAAAATACACAATGTTGACCTTCATCTCTCTGTGCCTCTGTTCCCTGTCTGTAAAATGTAGGGAATCCTATCACCGTATCTTTACAACACCCGGGTGAGACATTCATTAATGTTTGTGAAGCACTCCTATTATGATGGGAGCTGCAGAGAAACACCCATGGTGAAATTAACAGTCCTGTATTCAAGGCAGGGTGTAGATGGTGTATAGTAAATATGACCTGGGGTACCCATACTGAATGACAAGGATAAGAAATATTGAATAGCTACTCAACCTTAATTCTGGCATTTTCTAACTTCTGTGTGCTTGACTTTGCAACCTTAATATTCATTGTGTATTTTTTTAAAATGCAATTTCTTATTTTTTTTTAAAGCAAATAGAAAGAAAAGAATCCCATCATGTAGAACCATACGGGCCCTACATCCCGCAGGGCTGGAATCTTTAAGTCCACAGCACAGAATTCTGCCACTAGAGCTAATGCAGTAACTGGGAACAGCAATAGGCGATCATCCTCTTCAAGCCATGAGAGACAGATATCCAGAGGGTTTCCTCTGCTGTCCAGCCACTAGCTATAAACATTGAGACTTAAGAAACCTGAGTTTAACTCCAGGGGTTTTAGTACTTACCAGACTACTCTGTACCTGTCCCTCCTCTGCTCCTAACCCAACCCCAGCCTGATCCTACCTTAGCCTGTCTGGAAAGCACAGGAGAGTCTCCTCCTCCCCCTGATACTGTTCAGGAAACATGGAGAACATGTGAGCATAGAACACCATCTTCCTGTTCTCAGTTCCAATACAAACCACCACACTGCCTTCTGGCAGATGTTACCCTGAAACTTTGATCCTTCATGCAAAATGTAGAGTCCCTAACACCATTTTCTGAAACAGATGAACATTTCCTCTTGATTTTTTTAAAAATTCAGCCCGGGGCCAAGATCAAAATGTAAAGAGTTTTCAGCTTTAGCATTTAGACTCTTGAAAAATAGGTAGAGCAACAAAAAAAGGGTCTTATTATGAAAAGCATAGTTCCATGTGTAATTACTATACTGTATAAAAATATTTACACTTTCCAGGAAGTAGAAGAAGCAGGTGGAACCTTTCTCTGGAAAACGTTGGGCTATAAAAAACATATTTCTACTTAACTTAGGCTTGCATTAAAAAAAAAATTACATTTTCAGCGCTTACAGTTGCAAAGAAAATCTTGTGATCATGAAGAAAATGTTTATATACCGTGCTAGTCTGTAGTTTCAGTGTCTGCGCTTCATAAGCAGCAGGCATAATGTGAAATTAACATCAATAGTTGCAGTAAAACAATACAAATCTGAATACAGTAAGAACCATGTCAATTTCATGCTGCTGCTTGGCAAAACTAACAAAAACAGCAGAAGCAGACAGTAAAGCTATTAATAAGGATAGGAGGAAGAGATAGGAGGCTTAAAAATGGAACCTTGAAATAATAAAGAATGTTCTTGGTTGGGTGAAGCTTCAAGTTTTCCTATGTAGTTGCTAGAAACTAGTAGACAAGGAAGATGGTCCCAACTAGGGCTCAGATACAGAAACTCGGCAGAAACCCCCACACCACCCTCTTCGTAGCAACTAGGGTGAGTGAAGGGAGAGAAGCAGTAGCTGGGCTTACTAAGTTGCACACCTGGACTTTGAAGCACTTCATGTTTTGTATCTAGCTATTAGGATCAGTCCTCCATATGAAAGTAATCCCTATACATAAGCAGGCTAAGATAGGAAATTAAAATACCATCTCCAACTGGAACTGCAAGAGGCACTTAAGCAAAGCCTAAGTAGTTAACTGTGTGTCTTGACCAAATTACTACTTTGTTAATAACTATTTTGGTTACTACAAGCAGTAAGCTGGCATCACCAGCAGCACAGGTCCGGCAGAAACAAAGTGCCTCTAGCATTGGGAGGAGATATTCCCGATGAATGAAGCCTTCTCTGCAAATCTTTGATTTACTTCAAACAAATCAACAAACTCTCTACTTACTTGAAAGCCCCACTGTGAAGGTCTCTCTGAAGTTCCCCTTGCCATCTTGAACGACCTAAACGCTCCAAAATGCAGTAGGAGAAGTCTGGAAGTTTTAAATCTGGATCTCCTTCCCAGCCAATTAGGGTCCTATAGCGCAGATCCTGTGAAGCAACGATGACTAGTTTCTCCCCCCACCTAATGTGGAAAAAAACAGTAAGAAATGAGGAGTTAGTTTCCTAGAGCTCCTAACATTAACCATTTCCTCACCTGCTTCCTTTATTGATGGGATCGCTTTGATTTTGTCTAAGGCTCAGTTGAACATCTAGGACCTTCTCTCCCCCTCCATGATTTCACATAGCAGTCATTAACATTATAAATGGTCATCTATGACTCCAGAAAAATATTTCACTAGCACCAAATTCTAGTGCTGTATAGCACTAGAGCAGTATAGCTGCACTGGTGTAGCACAGACATGGCCCTTGTGAGCAGCATTAAAAGTAGTAAACTTTCAGGTGGAACTGGTGACAGAGCTCTAGTTACAACAGAAGCAATACACTTACAAAACAATTAGCTGCTAGATAATAATTATATAGCCCACAGGTTCCCTAAGTGTTGCTAATGCAGTACATCAATAGAGAAAATGTAAGTTCCAGACCAACTTGCTTAATCATATTCTTAAGATTGAATGGCAGTAGCAATGCCAAATACATGTGTATTTTACTATAACAAATTGTCACAGGGAAACCTAGATTTCTCCACTGCACTGCCAGGAATGTGCAGTACGATGGCAGCACTGAGACCTCTGAGCTAACTAGTGGCACAAAGAGCATGTTCACTAGAAACATTTACAAAAAGAAAAAAATTGTTGGTTTGAAAAGCTATGTATCAGGTTGCCAGGTTAAAGTCCTCAATTGCTAAAATGAAGAGAAGCCAAGCTAACGCTAGGCCAGAAAAAAGATCAGTTTTCGGAGGCTCATTGCAGATAGACTATTCACAAGTTTAACTAGCAGGCTTCTAATGATTTCTCTTGTTTATGTTCAAGATTTGGCCACAGTTCCAGGAGTACAACAAAAGATGCCTCTTGGTCCCCCTGCCAAATTTCAGATTTTTACTCCAAACCAAAGATGTTAGAGTGCTGTAAGCATTTTTTCTGACCACTTTTGAAATACATATTTTCTCTAAACTTCCTCAAACTTTTACCTGAATTTTTTAAAGAAAGTGACCCAAAGTGGACACCAAACTGCTCAAGGTGGGTGAGATTTATTAGACCAACTTCTTTTGGTGAAAGAGAAAAGCTTTTGAGCTAACAAAAGGTGGTCCAATAAAATATTACCTTACCCACCTTATCGCTAATAACTGGGATTAACATAATACAACTAGTGCACCAAATGGCCCATATAATTTGTAAGTTTCAGCCCAAATAGTTACAGTTTGGCAATAGTAGAATTCCACTTAACCTTTCCCATATAAATAACTGTAAGTTAAAAGGTACAAATATCTATGATTGTTTGAGGACTGTAGCTATCAAAGAGGGAAAGGAATTATTTAGGGTGAAAAAGGAGGAAGTAGACAGAAGAGTTTACAATAATTGGAATGCAAGATCAATAAATGCATTAGGATTTGATTAAGAAAGCTTAGTCATTCATATACACTTTTAACAAATGTGGTGAAGGAGAGAGCGCCTGAAATCCCATGCCTCTGAAAATGGTTCAGTGCACATTTTGGAGGGTGCACGAGCATTTGGCCTATGGCAGCAACAGAAAAGTATATTGAAAACAATGGTTTTCATATAAATCATTGGAGAAAAGTACCTAATGAAGCAAAAAATAATGACAAATTAGACTACAGAGCCAGAGTTTTTTCAACTCTTTAAAAAAAGCTGTTTCCAAATAAAGCATTATAACGTAAAATGAAACACCAACGAATACTGACATCTTACTCACTTTTCATAGGCTTCAGTGTATGTATAACAAGGCTGCAAATCCTTGGTCCTAATTTGATCAGTATAATTTAGTCTCTCCTTAAAATATTGGCATGAACCCTGTATACCATCCTTGTTATCCAAAATCATATGGACAGGATAAATATCATCTAGAGGGACAGGGTCTCTTTTAGTCTCCAGTATTCCTGTTTCAAGATCTATTTCTTCATACCTGAAATAAAAATACAAAGAGAGCAATATTTAAAACTAGACGATTTACCTGGCATTGCTTGGGTGCTTAACTCAATTATTTTTTCTTTTCTATATTTAAATCATTGCTCTGGGGTGGGGCTGAGGAATTGAGTATGCAGGCTGCCCCAGGGAGAAAGGACTAATTCAGCTCTCTATCACTGCAGCAGCTGGGGGCCAGGTGAAAAGTGCCTCACCATAGCGGCTCCTGGGCACAGACAGAGGAGAAGTGCATGCCCCCAGCCAAACCCTTTTACCTGCCTGGTGATCCTGTCTCTTTTCTGTATGGTTTTATGAGAAGTAATCCAGGCACAAACAAACATTTATCTTGCTTTAATTTATAAGAGGAAGCTGTATACTGAAATTGGTGGTCCTAGCTCTTACCATTTAGGAGGTGTTCTTGAACAATCGGATAGACAGGCAGACTCGCTCGAATATATAGTAGGGATGTTAAAATTTTAGATACAGAGGTAGCAGCATGGGGGGGGGGGGGGGGGAGAGAGGAGCAGGCAGCTACATGGGAGCCGGTACACACAAGAAGCCAGCTCTCCATGCTTACCGGCTCCTACCTGCCCACTGTGGTGCTGCCTCTGTATCAGAGGCAGCAACACAGGAGAGGAGGCAGATCCACAGGCGCCAATACATGCAGAGAGCCAGTTTAAAAGCTACAAAAGCGGCGAGGAGTCCTGTGGCACCTTATAGATTAACTGAAGTGTTGGAGCATAAGCTTTCGTGGGCGAAGACCCACTTTTTCAAATGCAAGATGTCTGACAAAGTGGGTCTTTGCCCACGAAAGCTTATGCTCCAACACTTCAGTTAGTCTATAAGGTGCCACAGGACTCCTCGCTGCTTTTGCAGATTCAGACTAACACGGCTACCCCTCTGATAGTTTAAAAGCTGGCTCCCCCGTCCCATCCATGCTACTGCCTCTGATACAGCACGGGTGGGTTATCCTTGTGAACTAGTTCCTGCAGGAGAGATGGGTGAGCTGTGTGTAACTGAAAAGGTTAACCAATGAGCCCAAGCAGGGACTGTTCCCACCAGCTGACTGGAGCAGCCCCTGTCCATGGTGGGCCTGGCCTGGGTGGCACACGATGGGCAATGGCTACTCCCTCCGGCCAGCTGGAGCAGCCCTTGTCCACAGTCCCCCCACCTGCCTTCCTTTAACCAGTTAACCAAACAAACGGGATTTTAATGCATTATAGTGGCAACCAGACTCTTCCTGCAAGAGGTTAATACACAAGACTTGCCTGTCAACTGAGAACTAATAGCTTGCTGGTCAATAATATAATGGTGCAATGCAGCAATATTATATATGAAGTTATGAACATGAGCTAAAATCATGACTGATGCATGTTTATCAGACAAGTCTGGGGTGGGTACATTTGATTCTCAAAGACAAAGGGCAAGATGATGCCTCGGCCAGGTGCCCTCAAAGCTGTTGAGCAACAATATATCAAGGGGCCATTCTTTGGCAAGCAAGGGGGGCAAAAAGAAACAGATCTGAATCTTAGAAAACAAAAGCATGGAACCTCTACCACCACCAGATTCTTTGTCTCTGACCTTAGGGCAGGGGTAACCCCTCAGGAAACATTTAGCAGAAACTGATAAGCTGATGCTTTTCTATTAACTCCCGCTCCTAGGAAGCCAGCTGTCATCCAGCACCACAGGCTAGGGATGTTAAATATCAGTTAACTGAACAGTCAATTAACCTCATGAATTCTTATTGGTTACTGGACTATTCTATAGTGCCCAGGGATGGGGCCAGCAGCCAGTGCACTCCAGCCCCACTATCAAGGAGAACCCTGCCATTCCATGTGGCTGCCTCTGTATCAGAGGCAGCAGCATGGGCCAAGGGGAAGCTGGTCCATGAGGGGAGCCAGCTTAAAACCCAGCTCCCCTCGTGGACTGGCTGCCTGTCGCCCCCAGGCTGCTGTCCAGGGGGGAAGGACTGAGTTCCCGGACTCAATGCAAGCCTGGCTCCCAGTACACTTTAAATGCAGAGCTGCAGTTGGGGTAGATCCCGGACTCAGGGTGAGCCAGGACTGAGCCAGCCTGCTAAAAAATATATGGGGGGGAGGGGGGAGAGAAAAGGAGAATGCATTAACCAATAAGCTAGTTGCTAGTTTATAGCATTAACCAATAAGCTTTTGCTTATCTGTTAATCAACTACATTATTACATCTCTGCTGCAGGTTCTGCGGTATTAAGTTATACTGGAGGGCCTGCTACGCGGCCAGCTCCCCAGAACTAGGACCAGCAGTCGGGAGCTGCCCCTGGGGTTCCTGGAGTTTGGAAACAGATCCTGGTCTGAAGTTTAATCAGCAATGTTACTGAGCATGTTTGTTTAGTACTAGGAAGTGTGTTCTCTGTGGTTCTCTTGTAACCATTTCTGACTTTGACATGCGTTTAAATGAGTATAAATGTAACTCCTTGCATTTAAATAAACTAGCTTATTTCTTTAATTAAAACTAATCCAGCGTGGTGAACTGTCTGGATAACTTCATTTAAGGTAGCAAATGTTGCATATTGATCCCCTTAAAGCAGGAAGAGACTCAAAATACTTGGACTGTACAGGAGAGAGCTGGATAGTGCAGAGCACACATTTTGGGGACAAAACCCAGGCATGGGAGTGGGTTGCGATCCCCATGCAAATGATAATCAACAGCAGAGAAAACCAGAAGATGACTGATGTGGGGCGGGCACATTGCAGCCATACACCGAAATTCAAGGTGTTACCTGCCTGCTGGAAAACTGTACTTAGCCCAGGTGGGAAGTAAGGTAGCAAAGCACTGCAAGCCACCCAGGTTTGCAGGGCAGGAGTGACACAGCCTCTCACCGGTCTGGACTCGTGGCCCCTCTCTTTTTGTTCCTCCTATCCGTGCGCGGAATAAGTGCTGTTGTGCGCACCGAGGCATGTGCACCACCAGGAGAAAGACGCGCTGGGCGGCCGCCCAAGCGCCCCGCTGACGGGAGCAGGGCTCTGGACTGCACCGCAGCACGCCATGACCCCCGCCCACAGCGCCCCTCACCGGTCGTGCAGGCGGAGCGGGGGCCGCTCCCGCGGCAGCAGGTAGAAGCTGAGGTCGGGCTGGGCGCTCAGGGCCGCCCACAGGAGCTGCTGCGTGGCGGGCTCCAGGGGCAGCGGGAAGGGCGGGACGCGGCTGCTCAGCCGGT